TGTGTCCCTGAACGTGTACTCCACTTTATACACGTTATCCGAGGTCTGTTTCACTCTACAATGGTGGAGTTTTACTTTCTCGAAGATACCGGCTCCACTCAGTCACCAGGGATTTCTGGTGTTTCACGTGAGTGGACCGCCCTGCAATAAACAAAAAGATAGAGGCGTCATAATCTACACTCAAAACAGTTGGGGCCATTCAGTTTGATGTATATTCACTCCCAACGCAAAGAGCGGCAACTTATTCAAACCACAATATAAGCCTCTCCTCTCAGTGAAACGCGCATAGATTGTCATATCGCATCTTTATATTACCCCCGAATGTGATCCTTCAGAAGTATCCCTGTACCTGAAGTTATCACATGATTTAATTTCAAAATTTGGAGACAACGCTTCTAACCGTCGCTGGTAATTTCAACAGAGCTAACGTATGTTTTCTTACCCTAATGTCTCTTCATATTACTGTCAATTTTCCCACCGGAAAAAATGCCTATTTAGATCAGTTCTTAGACGATTCTTCTGCACTCTGTTTTCATCCGGGTAGTACTGGGAAAGTACGGACATTGTGCGGTTAACGTTATTCCAAAGGTTTATGGGAAGCCCTCGTTAAAACGTTTACCAAGTCACTCGGCTCTAAAAAATGTACAAGGACTAGTACCATTTCAATAACTTCAGTTCAGTTCAGTTTTTACAACCATTAACCATGCGCTTTCGTGCACCAGTTTTGGTTTCTGTCTTTTGGTGCTCCATTTGGATAAAAGAGCAGAATGAAGATTGGAATGTTGAAAGCAAATTCAAGCGGAAGATGGAGAATTCATATAGAATGGTGTTGGGGGAATAATGAGTGGATACACGAGCGCTGTTTGCGACATTCAGCCATACTACTGTGTACCTAACCATCGGTGACCATCACCCCGGGGTCTCCAGCCAGGGAGTCTAACGGGGCCTATGTGGCCGAGTCTCCTGGTTAGGAGTTTCATACCCTCATGCCAGGTCTTCATTTGGCTACCCTTGACCCTTTTCCAGCCGCTACCTGCCGAAACAACGTGGAGAATTTGAATGAGATAGTTGACATTTCTGACTAAGACTGCGACATCTTGAAACAGCATGAAAATATCGCTTTACTTAAACTTCTTCTACGAGCTTCGTTGTCCCAAAAGGAGAATTCAGATTCACCATAATCGTGTAGCACTCAAAAAAACTGAAATGATTACGGCAGAAAAGCTTATCGATCTCCAGACAAGACAACGATAACATTTCTAGACAGCCAAATCAAGGGAGAAATAGATTAACTCTACTTCAATACCTTTCTTTGAAATAGGTCGCATCGTCAGCTCTGGAAAGGAATGAAACTGCACTGGTCGTTCTCCTAAGGCTCTGAATCCCACATGCAACCTACATTTGCTTAACAACTCATTCATTTCCCACATATGAACCGTCGATTTCCCCTGCAAGAACATCACAGTCAACCGACCACATATCCCTGTCAGTATTAACTCAGATGTGAGTTGATGTTCATTAAATTTAATATAGGTGCTGTACTTGATCGCCTCTTTCTCATTATCTTAAAATCTTGTACAAGTTACCTCTCCGACTTAAAAATAGCCTATTAATGATGGGACATGAGCATTACGCATTGTAGCCAACGATCTCAAATTCTCAATAAAAATCAGAAACTCCGACCAGTTTGCATACAGCAAGCAGCGTTCAACCGCCAACGCTAGTATCCATTTATCTAGTACACCCCCTTGCACAGATGCTGAACCGGTTCACGTCTGTCATTTGGCCTCATGAAAACGCTTTTAACTTTCTCGATAGGAATTTGCTAATCACGTGGCTAAACTAATGCAATATGCCCTCCATCTGTCCGAATTGCTTCGCGACTACTTTATTAGCCGCAGTCAGTCTCTACGCGAAGAGAATTTACCTGTTCCTGTTTACTGTCACTGGCCCTACTGCTCGGTATTAATTATCTCAAGTTTACACTCCAAGGATTTTTTCCCCGAGTCAAACACTCTTCAAAACGTATCGTCTTTGGAGTTTGTAGAGAAGAGGATCTTCTTCACACAATCAGACTGACGAGATTTGTTCGGATCACTCAACTTTTGTCCAAGTGAAGATTTCGGAAAGAAACTTCGCCTTTCTTGTGATTATTCAACAAGTTGAGTTTTGGTGTTAATGTCGGAAATTGGACCACAAACAATGGAGTACATAGAACCCGGTGGTGGTGAAACTGCATAGGATGAACTGACAACAATACCGCGAAATACAAACCGGCATAATTGTTCCCGAAAGTACACAGGTGAAAAACATACAGTCTCCAGTGATGCCATTTTCCAATGAAATAGTTACTGTCGCAAACCGTTACTCGGCCGAAGGGCGGCGAAAACATCAGTCCCACTACGCAATGGGAATTTATCTATCAGGCACTGTGAAGAGATCTAAAAACTTCCTTTTTCCATCGGTGATATCTATGGTATGAAAGATTAGTAAATGGCGTACAGACTTCAGTTCAGTTTGAGTTTGTGAAACCATTACCCATGAAGTTTCGTGCGCCGGGTTTGGTTGCCGCTTTAGATGGAGTAAGAGAAAGACAGAAAATTTGGAAGTAGAAGAGAAAATAGAGGAATCCATCAGATTACCCTTACAATAAAAATGATACGCACCAGCGCCACTGTTCACGACACTCAGTAACATCACTCAGAGCCTCTAACCAGCGGTTACGATCATCCCGAGGTAGCCAGCCGGGGAACCTAAGGGACCTATATGATCAAGTCCCCTGGTTAGGGTTTCCATACCCCGTTGCCAAGTCGTGGCTTCACCACCTTTGCCTTTCATCTACCCACTACCTGTCTCACAAACATTACTCGCCATGGAAACATATTTGGTGACATGCGCAACACTTGCCCCTACCAATTTAGTCTACGGAGATCGACCACCTGCTCCAGTGGGCGACCGCGGTTACCCAAAGCTCTGCACCTAACCTCAGCATTGCTCGTGCGGCTACCCCACCAGATTCGTGCAATGCTGCGTAAACAACGGTGTTCAAATACCGACAGTTTACCTTTATCCTGCTTTCTTAAAGGCCAAGTTTCTGCACCGTATAGCAGAACTGACCGAACTGCCGCAGTATACACTGGGCCCTTCACAGACAGCCGGATGTCGCGACGGCGCCACAGATGTCTCCAGTTAACAAATGCCAATCGAGCCTTCTGTATGCGTGCTGACACTTCATCTGTGATGCATCCACCGGGTGAGATATAGCTACCCAAATAACAAAACTTATCCACTTGCTGTATTTCTTCCCCAGTTAAAGTGAGTCTGGGTGCTCGACCAACCCAGCCTTGTAGTAATATGTTACACTTTAAAAGTGCAAAAGACATACCGAACATGTATTCACTAGCACTCAAGCTATCCAGCAAAGCTTGCAAGTTACCTGGGTGTTCACTTAGTAGCACAATGTCGTCTGCATACTTTAGATCAGACAGTCTGCCCCCTGGGAGTAAATCAATACCGCTATCCTCGCACGAGGATAGCGCTGTTTCAAGAATTAAGTCTATCACAAAGTTAGATATAAACGAAGGGAATGAGGGAAACTCTGTCGAACACTACTTTTCGTGGTGAACTCGGGTGAAAAAGTGTCATAAGCTCGGACTCGGCTTTGGCCATTAGTATAGAGCGATTGTAATACTGAAATAAACTTCTCGGGCACACCCTTTAGAGCGAGGCAGCGCCAGAGTTTAGAGCGGTCGACGGAGTCGAAAGACGCTTTCAAATCGAGGACAGAGATCGTGGGTCTAGGAAAAGAATGCCGATGCTCGAGAACTTGGCGAAGAGTGAAGGTGTGGTCGATAAAACCTCGACCAGGTCTAAAACCAGCCTGGTTCTCACGCGTGCACTGTTCACGTGCGGCAAACAATCTGCGGAGTATGATGCTAACGGGAGGTTCAGAAGCACTGTTGATTAAACTAATTCCTCTTTGGTTTTCACAAGAGGATCTTTCACCTTTCTTGTAAACCGATATGATCACCGATTCACACCATTCAGTTGGAACCTATTCCCTTTCCCATATTGAGCCCAGGAGTTTCGTCAACTCCAAGACCAACGCTGAACCTCTATCCTTAAACATCGATGGGAACAGTCCATCTGAGCCAGAGGCCTCATGCCATTTTGGATGTCTTATTTCCCGGGAAACCTCCGTTTCAGATGGGGGACTGATATCAACTGGCAGTATTTGCCCAGTCGAGGTGGGGAGGGAATACAGGTCAGATGTTGATGGGGGCCAGCCGAACTGAGCCTCGAAGTGTTCAGCCCATCGATCAAGACGATGTTGCTGATCGCCAAATCAGTGTGCCATCGGATTCCTTAATTACCTCATTTACGCCTATTTTCCTGGGGCACGTATTCCTAATTAGACGGAAAAGATTGCGACTATTACCTATAGCCGCAGCTTTCTCCATCTCTTAACATTTTCTTTCTCATACCTTCATGCCGGGTCTTATTTTGGTCACCCTTGGCCTTTGCCCGCCCACTATGGCGTACAGAACAGATGAATATCGTGTATAGAGAAAATGAAAGTGATATGGTAGGCTACCTGGACGTCAAATGAGTGGTGTATGTGCGTTCTACCTGTGGGCTCCTGAGTTCGACCCGCGGTTCGGTTGATGGATTTGCACTGATGATGTACAGCGTACAGCTGTACAGTGCTTCCTAGCTTTTCAGTACACGATTAATTCACTCCGTGTGCGAATAAATTTATCATATCATCCAGTTAAATCCCCCACTACTCTTATATAAACAATTATTATAGGTTGGAGTATAGTGTAATCAACAAAACCACCGCGATTCGATCGAAATGAGTTCTGTTGTTCATAGAAAGTCTTTTTCCTTATGTGACAAGGTACCATGCAATCAAACACTTAGATGTCGATCGTTATTAAAATGATAATATTGATTTATTGACCCAAAGCACTGTACATATGAACAGATCATGTGAGGATTCAATGCCCCCGGTGTCGTCCCCCTTGTCCTCGACCACGCCGTTGATTCTTCTCCCGCGAACCTCCGGAGGGCTTTTGCCGATTCATTGAACCGCTTCTGCCTGTAGCTTTTCCCTCTTCCGATTGCTTGGCTTTCATGCGTAAATATCGAGCTCGTTTGCGTGATACATTTCGGTGTGGAGGTTGCGTAGCAGCAGACTCTAATGTTTCGATCGCAGCCTGCGAATCCACACGCATCGCTTGTAACACCTCGCTAATCTGTTCCCGTCTTGCTGCAGGGGCCTCAGACGCCCAGGCGGTTCTTTTCAGACCAGGTAACGTTGTGGCAGTCGCAGTCCCAGTGGAAACTGTTTGATCTGTGCTATCCGTAGCCACCTTGTCGTTTGGAGTTGTGTGTGAGGCGTTTTTGCCTCGTTTGCGTATGGCTTGCAGAGCCTGGAGAAAATGAAAGGCGACAAAGAGAACATTCATGGCGGTATAAATACTAAAACTAGTATGGCTCAGTGGGTATTCTCGAACCACCTGTAGTCACACTTATTTTGTGCTATAACCGGAGGGATTTTTAAATGCGACCTTAGAAATTTATCTTAAGATAACTTACCGACAGCATTCGGTGATAGGAATACAGCGGGTACGCACATGGTGTCTGTTTTATCTGCTCATCTGTTGATTTGCGCGGTGATGGTCAAGTGGTTAAGGTCATCAAATGAGTGACACGGAAATCCCAAATGCTCTTCCGCTGCCCATTTCCGCTATCTCTGTACACATTCTGCTTCTCTCGGATAGATTGGTGCTTGCGCAGTCACGTTACCGTATCAGACTGCTGACATATGCGTTCCTCAATAGGGTTAACCAATCAATGAACCGTGTCATGGCGCATCACACTAGATGAAAATACACTGGTTGAAAGCGATATTGCATGTTGATTGATCGATGGCCTATCCCTACATCGGTCAACGACTGCGTGTATAAGTATTAGGAAGTGCGGTATAGTGAGGCGGCGACGTTTTTAGTCAAGACCTATGTTATTACGTACACGGTTGAATTGAGTTTGCTAAGGAGTGAGATCATATTGAAAAATGCGACTTCCCATGGGTGTGACATAGCAGGAAATTGACTATATCATTTAAACAAGCAGAACATAGTAGACTTTTACAGCAGTGGAGACAAATTGTTACATCATGTTAAAATGCACGTACGTCCAGACTTCCGACAATGCATTTCTGTAAAACTAGCGTAAACTCGCAATCCGTTTCTGCCATAATGCATGTTGTCAACCACGAAAACAGAACAGACCACAAATCTGGAAATGGCGGCCAACATAAAATATACATAAGGTTCTAAATCTTGAATAGCTTATCGATAGGGATCACGCGAATGACAAGTCATTCGTCTAAAGTCCTTTAGAAAAGAAACGGCGCATCCGGAGAGGGACAGAGAGAGAGAAAGTAAATACAAGAGAGACAAAAGAGAATGGGGCGCATTGATTGACAGACAGCAATTACACGAACACGGAGCGGTTTCCCAGTACAGGTCTGAATGTGATTGATCGTAGACAGTGTGGGATAAGCAAACGCGTCCAATTCTTTTTACAAATATTAACCAGCGCACTTGAGTGCTTTAGTATTGGTTGCCGTCCTTTGGTGACCTTGTTTATGGACAATCGAGGAGACTGATGGAATGAACAGAAGACGAATGAACATGATCAGGTATAATGATGATGATGATGATGATGCGGTCGGATGCAGCACACACGCACATACACACACAGACAGTACGTCACTATGTCAGGCCAACAGATTGTTGCGCACGCGATAACTAAATGGCGGGTGTTATTAAAACATGTCAAGACATATGAACATTGTCCGCGTAATGGTGATTAACCGGTCAGCCCTGCAATAAGCCAGGAACGGTGACTATCACTGACAGAACACTTTGCTGGAAGACAACAAGGAGAAGAAATGAAGTTGCATGTTTACGGTCATTGCTGTATTAAGGACGCAAACCAGGCAGGGATAACAGATTAGATGTCAACCTCAGACGGAGAGAGCAAAGTAACCAACGATGTGCAACTTGGCAAACATTTTGGCAACCAAGCCAAACGGACGACTGATATCATTGTTGACCTATTAATGACTTCTCACTTTCTTTTGTTGTACAGCCGAATTTCAGGAGTAGAACTGAGGCCTATCCAAAGGTAAATCCTCTAAAAAGATGTAATAACACAGCAGAACAAGTAATCCAGCCGAAATATGTTACGGCACATATCTGTATAACAAACAGGATAAGTGAAACTAGTAGTCACGAGAGCTTACTACGGCAGATTCGGAAACTTAATGCTTATTATGAAGAGCCTCAGAAGGCTTAATAGAGGTCGTATTGACGCGAGCGAAAGTGAAGCTGTCAACCACAGTGGCGGAGTTCGAGCCTTAGACTTCAGGGATCAGTACATGTCAGTGGGAGTATCTTAAATTACTTTCCCATTGTAAAAGAATGGCTAAAAACTTAAACATCGAAATCTGATAAAATTTCAAGCATTCTGGGCTATATACAGCTCAAGATCGGAAAGAAATGAACAAAAATAAACAAAATACAAATAATTTAAGTAAATAAACCCTGCCACCACCCCAATTCGATTGAAAATCTGTTGGAACCATACGAAACTCGAGCCAATTACCTGTTTTTTAGCGCTGAGTGTCAATATTAAGAGTTCATTTCAGTATTACGAGTAAATATTCAACAAGCCCAACGACTAATCCGCCAAACATACCACACAGTACTACTTCACATCGCGGAACAGGACCGAATTTATCTCTGAAAACAACAAACAGTCACGTACTTGGTTAGATCGGGCCCCAGCCTCCATAACCTGCTCATGAAGCTGAGCCACAGCCGCTTCCAGTGCGCGGTCTTCTTCGCTCTCAGCAGTGACAAGAGCCGGGATCTTCTGTTGCTCCGATCCAAGAGCGGAAACCAAGTGTGATTCGATTTCTTTGAGAAAGAATACCACGGAGTATTGGGTAAGCAATGTTACAGCACAACCCATTCTTCCAGCCCGCGCTGTGCGACCAACACGATGCATGTAGGTCTTCGCATCCAGAGGAACATCGTAATTCACGACTAGACCGACTTGCGGAATATCCAGGCCTCTATAATGAAAATAAATAGAGAAACGAATGAGTGACACCTCTAACTGGATAGATTGTCCATGAAACCGGTACATACCAGTTCGGGTGGGAATTCGCGGTAGCAAACACACGTTGCTAAATGAACTGACAAAAAAACAATACGTGAGCACGTGATTGCACAATTTACATAATTGAATACTCTGCATTGAGCACAACAACTTTTGATCCAAGTAACTATCTTCGTTTTTATGATGACATAGATCAGCAATTCAAAACTGCTCAACAACTGTTACACTCCTAGAAGATAGATAATCATTACGCTCCAAGGCATTGGAAAGGCAGTTTGACCGCCCAGTATCAAGTGTCTTTCAGAAAAGCCGGGTAACTCGGATGTCTGTTTCAATTGTCCTACCGATACATCCTTCAATCACAGATTGGTCTAGGATCGATGAAACGTGTTTCTGACCTTCTTTATTCGTCTTTGATAGAATGTATCAATCGCAAATCTAAAGTTAACCGGTGACACCGCCTTTATATCTGAAAACATTAGGCGGAAAAGTACTCCGCATATTCAAAGTTTAAAAAGCTCATTTAAGACTAATCCTTATGAGTGGCACATGGCTGAAAGTTGTAGACAGCTTTGATAACCTCTGGAGTTGCATCAAAGCCGGGGCTGTGAGACGACAACTCTCGTAAATAAAGAATAATAGCTTGGTGTCCCCCAGGGTGAGGCATTTTCGGTGTCAACAGGATACTAGCCATCCTCTAAAACGTCGGATACAAAATGCAAAACGGGTGCCTTACTGTCGTACGGTTGCGAATCCTAGCTACTCCGATGTGTTTGAACACTGTCGCCTTTGTAACATCAGGCACGATAAAACAAAACGGAATAATTCTGCCTCGTAACCGTTTTACCTTATGTGTTTTCATGTTTGAAAGATGATTGCTTGAACGCGATGCTTCTCTTACTCCATCAGCACGATAGAAGTTCAAACAATAGAGAAACCTCAGGCAAAAAGGTTGTGTTTGCGCTGAGACGACGAAACAAAACACATTATGGGCAATAATTTAGTCCTAACTGTGGATAGAAACCTGTAGCCTGTGAACGCTGTTCTCATGGTTTATGAAGAAAACATGGAAAGTCATGTGAAACCAATTGGTGCCAAGAGGCAGTCTTGCACCTAAGCGCTATCTTATTGCTTCCTACGCCAGCGCAACTAAATATAAATTAATGGAAGGTGAGCGGTAACCTACCACAAAGGCTTGCTGTAAACTATGTGGACGACGTCAGAGCGAATATACGGTGATGTTTACGTCATGTGACCGTGACAAAAGTCAAATGAAAAAGGTGAACCACATGAATTAGGCAAGCCAACTAGTTGGTGGTTGTGTCTAGCAGCCACTTCCGTTGCCAAAGGATAAACGAACTTATGGTTGTCGCACACGGGGTAATATTTACTAATGAAACAGGAAAGTGCAAAGCGTCCATTTGTGGTAAAATTTGTTGATAACTGACAGGTGTACATCACTATAAGCAAAACCGGATGGAAACACTGTAGATCTTTAAACACAGACCTCATGATCTTGCTGATATGGTGCATATGTAAAACAAAATCGGGAATAAGTTTACAGAATAATGGAATAATAAAGGTCTGCATATGAATGAAACAGGAATGGGATTTGGAGGGGGGAGTGGACGGCCAACAATACTTAACAACAACCTGGAAGCCCCACGTCATACATTACATACATTTAAGTGAACCTACAAAATCAATATGAAACGTAATACCGATACAAATAGGAAAAGAAGTGGGGGGGCTTTTGTGTACCTGCTGGCCACATCAGTCGCGACTAAAACGGCTCCGTGTGTACGCTTAAATTTGTGCAACGCTCCGAGGCGTTGCGCCTGAGGCATGTCTCCGTTCAATGCGATCACCGGTTGCGCGAGAAATTGACTGAGCAGAAAACTCAAACGACTACTCGCCGCTCGGGTGCGAGTGAATACAATTACAGAAGTCGATCGCACCGTGCTAAAAAAAGACAGCAAACGAAAAACATAAAAGTCATGAACCGATAGAGTAAGCGATGAACGAGGATTAACGGATCTCCCAGATACAAACAAACCGGTGGCAAAGATTGTACCAATAGGCAGGAGAATACGGGTTTTGGGGGAATTTTTTCAATATAAACTCAATATATTTATGTATGTATATTCATTATACAAATACATATATTCAATCAGAACATTCATCGCGGCGACAACGAGTGTATTTCATCGACGTATGAATCCAGACTGTTTGTCTAACAGACAAAACGTCCTGCAGAACATCCTCTATGGCGAAGTTGAAGAGGAATAGAGACGGTAAAGGGTAGCGAAAGCTGGCCATAGGCCCTTGCCCGACTTAAGTTATGACGATACAATTCTTAGAAGATCGACACTTCTCAGGTGCCCCATATCTAAACAATTCCACAATGCAGTACCGTTGACAGACTCAAGGGCCACGCGAATGTATTGGAACACAATGGTCGTTGGTTTGTGGTAGGCATGAAGGTGCTCTAGCAACCGTTAGAGGGTGAAGATTTGATGGATTCAGACACGACCAGCACGAAACCCAGCTGGCTCTTCGCGGGCATGTGCCTCACGCCTCTTGTACAATCTACGAAGAATGATGGACGCTAGCAGCGTTGACGTTATTGGGATCAGGCTTATACCCCCATGATTGGCGCAGTCACTGCGCGGGCTCTTTTAAAAGTTAGGGACGGCAATGGATTCCCCCAAGAGGAGGGAACCTGCTCATTGTTCCATATTTTAGAGAACAGAGCCACGAATTCTCTTACAAGCTTTATTCCACCATCATCACCAAAGTGGGAGGATGAAAAGCCGACATCCGAGGTTATAATTGGGTTGGTGGACCACTGGTAGTTCACCTACGGCAGGGAGGGCCAAAAACCTTGATTCCAAACCAACTAAGAGGAGGCGTACAACCCACACCCACACCTTTCCGGTTGTATCAGTGGTCACCGGCTCAGTTTGGCATCGAGGTGTATTGGGAACCTTGGACGTTTGACCCCGTCCAAAGGTGTATAATCCGATGAATTGGACACCGGTCCCCAATGGATTGTAGTTTTCACATGCCGCCCCGCTGCCTTGTGGGTTAGGCTTTGGCTAGCCAAAGGCTCCGGTTGTGGATTCCTCAAGAAAATTCATCTGCCTTGGCCTGGGCAACCTGGCAGTATTCCGCTCACATGTAAATCGTGGAACGTTCTTCTTTTCATAAATATTACTGCACCACGATTTGTTTGGCACATAGTCTGGATTCAGACAAGTGACATATATATATATATATATATATATATATATATATATATATATATATATATTGGCCATGTATTTAATGTCATGCGCAACATACGTCGCAACCAGGGTAATCTGTGGAGGTCAACCACTTGCTCCAGTGAACGACCGCGATGACGTGAAACCTCAGCATTGCTTGCCCGGTTTCCCCAC